GGGGGGGAGAGAAGAGAGGTGATCCTGCGCGAATAGAAAACAGGTTGAAATAGGGCGGCATCCAAGGTTGAATGCAATTTTTGAGGCGCAACCCGTACACGAACTGGGTCACGTACGCCGGAAGTAAACGTCACGAGAATTAAAAGTCCTCCTCCCACTACCTCTCTCTCTTTCTTTCTCTCTCTCTCTCTCTCTCGACTTCGAATCACCACGTCCACGAATTCCGGCTGAAAGATTCCGCTCCTTCTCCTCCTCTCCCATTTCTTTTTCCACCTTTCCTCCCGGTTTTTCCTTCTGCTCCCTGCCAATCGGAGGATCTCTCCTTCCCTTCTTTCGAGTTTCTTCTTTCGAGTCACGAGAGAGGCGACACGACCACCAGAGACGAGAGACACGAAGATCACGGCAATCTCTTATTTTCCGCGCGACCGATCCATTCGGCGCGAATTGGAAAACGCGAGCGGCAAGAGAACCAAGTTCCACGCGACCCGGCTTCGAGCCGGAAGAGGCGGTAGAGAAAGCGGTTCGAGCGAGTGGGAGGGCTGGGAATCCGGGTAGTTTCGTTCGATCGTTTTTCGTCGAACCGAGAGTGATTTTTGCGGGAATGGAAAAGCTCGTCTGCCGGCAAATACATGGGTCGTTTTCTCCATCTCGTGTAATTATATGCGCCGGGTAATAAAGATTTTACCGACATGGAGAGGTAACAATTTAAGAAACATAATTCTGTTGCAAATCGTGCAAATATGGAAGAGAGGTTGAATTTAATTATCTTTATTTGTATCCTCGTAAAAGGGAATTAATAACGTGCAAACAACTCGGTGGAACGTTTACCGAGCAATAAAAACCGTGGTTGTGCTTGAATCGAGAAATGAATATCAATACGACCGGTCGGCGAGTCACCGCGTTGATTTGATCGAATTAAAAAAATGAAAAAAGGAAAAAAAAATGAAATATGAATAGAGCGTCATTACACGCGCGAATATTAATTTTTCCCATTTCTTTTATTTCCTTTTTGTTTAATTACGAATCTAAACATTAGCGCGTGCCGGTGACTAATTAAATTCGCTCCTCCAGACAGATCGTTACCGTCTGAACGGATAATCGCGGGTAGAACTCAATGAACTCGACGAAAACGCGTCGAAGGTACAAGAAGAAAGAAGCGACAGCTAGTGAACTGTGCTCGCAGCAACCGCTCGCGCATGATTGGAAATTAGATTAGTCACGTTGAAGTGACTTTCAACGAGCCTCCTCCTCGTCCTCCTCCATTGTTACGTGGTTAAATTACGATACACATCGCGATGCGAGTACAGAAAAGAAAAGAAAAAAAAAAAAAACTATCTGTGTACTTAACCTTTGCAGTGAAAGTAGAAAAATTGTAGAGAGAAGTTGACAGACTCGTTAAGCATCATCGTAAATTTATATACTTTCTTTTCTTTTAACGATAAAATTAACTCGAATCACTTTCAAAGATAATTACAATATCTTTAATCTTACGTATGCGTATTTAAATTTTGACTTAACTTTTGATTCAAAAAAAAAAAAAAAAATGGACCGACAAAATAAGTAATAATGCAACTCGACTACGATCGAATATCACAAGAGATTGGAATGACGACGATACACAATTTTCCGGCGATAAGATGATTCTGTTCCAGAAATCTGGAACTCGAGCGAAGAAGAATTCGAGTTTGGTCACGAGGAACGAAGAGTGTACGCGAAGAGTGGGCGGATAGCGAAAAACCGATCCGAAAGAACGTTGGATAACGTATCGAGGAACGAAAAGAACGGAAATTCCCGCGGAGAGAGAGAGAGGAAACAAGTTGGAAAAGCGGCGTAATGCGCAGTAAATTGGGGCCACCGTGTGTTCCCGATGTGTACCACAAATCTTGGACGCTAAGGTTCGCGGCAAAGTTACGGTTAGGTGGAAAAGCCAGAGGGAAAGGGAAAGGTCGCAGGTCGGGGCGAGACGAGGTTGTTTGGCCGGCCGTCGGTGAACGACGTTGAGCCGGAGCACTTCCGTTTCCAGCGACATTTCTCAACTACCACCACGTCCGACGAATGTCGCAGTCCTACTCCTTATCGGTTGCAACGCTCTGAATCGAATCGGAGGACAGGGGGATACCATGCAGGAATTCAAAGATGGCTTATCCGCTCTGTGAGTTTGTTTGCCTTCCTCCAATTATCGATCGATTGCTGAACAATTGGGAAATAATGTGTTTTGATTCAACACGGTGATTGTTTTTTGAAAAATTCATTATCGCGCACATCATTGCCGTCGAATCTATGATATTTCGATTCGTTTAATAATATATTGATTAATTAATTCGACTCACAAGAGATTGAAATGACGACGATACACAATTTTCCGGCGATAAGATAGTTCTGTTCCAAAAATCTGGAAATCGAACGAAGAAGAATTCGAGTTCGATCACGAGGAACGAAGAGTGTACATATTAGAGAAGAAGTACATATTTAGAGAAAGTTTTCGAAACTTTTTGCAGCTTCCTTATGTACTGATCGTCTTAAAATTATCAAGTACAAAAAATGATTCGTACAGAACAACATTTCGATCCCATCCCACACAGATTTCGATCCATTTTATTCAGAAATTGCCCTCGAATCGGAGATATTTGAATGAATCTCGGTCGCTCAAAAAAATTGGTCACGTCACGTTCGATTATAAATCCTTTATCTACCCTGCTGCCATTTTTCTTCCGGAATCAAAAACGAGAAGGGAGCAAAGCCGTCTGAGCTGTCGACCGTATACCGCACAATGCCGGAGAGATTTTGATTTATCTATCGCGCGAGTTGTCCGCGCGCGAACGAGCGGAGCAAACGAATCCTCGAAGGCAGCGATACGTGGCTTCGAAGAAACGAAGGGCAAAATAGTGGAAACGCGAGGGGGACGACGACGACGGTTGCGCGGACGGATTAGGCGCACCGAAGTGTGTGATAACGCGAAGGAATAGGAGAGAAAATCCTCTCTCCCTTCTGGTTTACAATCCTTATTCGACCCCCGCCGACTCGAAATCGCTCTCGAGAGCGGCGCTCGTTAATACTCGGTTTCGCTTCGACGTGCGCGCACCACGAAATTTCGGCTTGGTCGCGCAACCAAACCGAGAGATCTCCACCCTTTTCACTCGTGCGTGGAAAGCACGACCAGCGTGTTTTTTTTTTTTTTTTTTTCTTTTCTTTTTTCCGTCTCTGAAATCCGATGGAGGAATCGCGTGCGTTTTTTTTCGTATCGAGCGAAACTTTATCCATCCAGGGGAAAGGTGTTTCGTTTAACCGGTATTAGGGGATATTTGTCACGAGTTGCGCTCCCCTCCATATCCCCTATTCGATCTTCGAAAAGTTGAATCGAATGGAAAAGAGGCCGGGCCTATCTATCCAGGTATTTTTTTCAAATATTTAACCACAGTTAACCACAGTGAACGCGTGTTTGTCCTCTAATTGCATCGTGGGCTCCGGAAACACTGCCCCCCCCCCCGTTCCCCTTCGATTCTTCTCGCAACAATATCACTTGACACGGCAATCTTCTCCTAAATCGATTAGCGGGGCGAACGAGTTAATTCTCGACTCGGCCTTTCGTATGGCCGAGCCATCCTCCCTGTTCCTGAGGGTCTTCTCAAGGGTGGAGGGACGATTTGCGGAGGGACGATCTACGCCGGAACGTAACAGGCCGCTTATACACACACACACACACGCACACACGCATCAGCCGGGGCCCGGGCTACTTCCATCCTCGTTATTAAACACACCGTGTTTGCTTTCCGATAAATGTTTCAACGGTCAACCCGTAAGCGCGGCCGCCGTGCTGCGGTTTCGCCCGACCGGATATGCAGTGCGTCGATCCGCGTTGTCCCATCCCCCTTCGCCCCCCTGCTACCGCGCCCGCTTCTCCAAAACCCATCCCTCCCCTTCCCGCGTATATACACGTACACACAGCTGCGCGACACGTTTCATCCACGACGTGTATTCCACGACTATAACTATTTTTTTTCCCCCCGCGGCGCGGAACACTCGGAATCGAATTGGATTGATTTTCAAACGATTTTAATTCGTTTGATCGAGAATTTAAGCAAGTGATCGCGGAGAAAATTGTTTTAAATAATGATAAGATTCGTTTGCGAGATTCGTTTTTTTTTTAAACGATAGTTTAATCGTTTCTCCTTATTATTTTCATTACTTTTCATCCGAACGAATTAATAAATGTTTTATACGAATAAAGGTACATATAATGAATAAGGAAATACAGACGATAATAATAACATTAATAACGTAGAATTTCTAAAATAGTGGTTTCAGAGAAATGGAATGGAATGAATGATACAGAAATACAGAGGGCAACGTGGAAAAGATTATTGACGTCGCGGAATCTCTTCGGAAAGATAAAAAGAAAGGAAAAAAGAAAGGGAAAGAAAACGAGTAACACAACAAGCGATGCAATATTTCTTGCCGTCCAAGACTTCAACAGGGTTGAAACGAACATCGCATGGTATCTGGACCCCGCCAAATATTTCCTTCTTACCAATTATCCGCATGCAACAAAGCAGAAGTCGCCGCCGACCGAGGTCTGCCGCCTTTCGACCCTGTCCACAGGCTTTTCGTCGTCAACAACCATTCGAAACTCGAAAGCGGGCAA